GTATATTTCACCTGTTATTGCATTCATATTGTCAAACCTTATATATATATATATATATATATATATATATATATATATATATATATATATTGGTTAAAATTATTCTTGATATATATATATATATATATATATATATATATATATTTACTAGTATATTTTATTTCCCCTGTTATTGCATTCATATTTTCAATACTTATGTATATATATATATTGGTTAAAGTTATTCCTGATATATATATATATATATATATATATATATATATATATATATATATATATATATATATTCAAGAATAATTTTATCAATATATATATATATATATATATATATGTGTGTGTGTGTGTGTGTGTGTAGGTATATATATTTACTATATCTATATTTTCTCCTAAAATTGTTCTTGATATATAAATTGTTTAAGTATACAAACACTACCTGTTGAAATACCAATTGAAAATAGCTATGAACTTTTGTCCCAACTCAATATTTACTATATATATATATATATATATATATATATATATATATATATATATATATACACGCATATAAATATTTGCTGTTTTGTTTACTTTTTTAATAAAAATATTTTATTTTCAGGTGATAAAAATGGCTGTCGATAATCATACACTCTGGAATAATAAATTTAAAAGTAGTATTCTTGAAATATGTTTCTTTTTTCATAATAAATATTGTTTACAAACCTCTGATAATTATGCACCAAACCAACATATATATATATATATATATATATATATATATATATATATATATATATGCGTGCGAAAAAATTGTTTTAATGTATTTTCTGTTTACACGTTATTTTATAGATACATACTTAAGTAAATGCTCTGTTTATAATAAACAGTATAAACAAATAATCGACCTGAATGCCCAAGAAATTTCATAGAAAATATGTGTCCTTCCAGATGCTTCCTCTATAGCTAAGCGGCATAGCACGCCAGACCATATTCGATTCCTGTCCGAATGTGTGAATGTATAACATACATGAAAAGTTCGAAAACGTCTGTTTTTATATATTTCACTGATGATCGATTTCATCAGAAAAAATAATTTTATGTTACATTGGCGAGATAAAGCTAGAATTCATGTTAAGTGTTTATGTTCTAGTGGGACGATTATTTTGCAAGATAAAATAGTGACTAGCGAGGAAATGTTTGGCCGTATCTCTCTTTCCGTTGTCCGTTTTATTTTATTGAAATCAAAGACCCCAAATCCATTGTTGGTGGTGAGAGAATGCCCATCCGCGTGCTCCTTCCAGCTCTGCGTTCTTTGAAACATAAAGGCTTGGTGATAAAATGTCAGCCTCAATAACTCACTAACTGACCATGAAAATGGAAGTCGGCTTGTATGAACACTAGCTGCCATATCCACAATGCTGGATAACCAAATTTGTTTTTAAGATAGAACAATGGGATTCCATTCCTACCCCTCGGTAAGTATCTCTTCAGCTGCCAGCTTGGACTCCTTGTTAGCTGCAGACTTTTTTTTTGTGTGTGTGTGTTGTATGTAATAGGACTAGGTAGGCTTTCCTACCGTCCGGTCAATACCCCTTCCCCTTATCTTGGACAAGAGTAGAGGCTCACGCCTTGTTTCTTGTTTAGGAATGGGTTCCCGGGACTCTCCCTCTCTTTCTCTCTCGCCTCTGTACTAGTGCTGCCGTGTTTCTCCCGTGATGTGTGTAGTCTGTGGCAATGCCTCTTCATTCTGAGGCTACAAGATTGACCGTTTGCTGTTTGCTGTTTCCAACTGATAGTAAGGAGCCCTAACTCCTGCGTAGCGTCTTGAGCGGCCACTCTGAACAACAGTTGTATAATACCGGGTTGTCTGTAGTGCCATGTCGCGCGTGGAAAGATGTCCCTGCATTCAGCTCCGGTGGGCAACCCTGAGGCCACTTTATGTTGCAAGCTGCTCAACTTCTCTCTACCCACGTCACGGTCGATAATCGTCTGCTTCTTCTACTTCAGGCCTTCTCATTTTTGCTACCGTAATAACACATCATGATAACTAAAGACGATCCAAAAAGAATACCTAAATAATCCCTTAAAAATCACCTAAACCCTTTAACTTTTTATTTTCTAACATCCGTGTCACTAGAACCAATTTCTGTAGTGTGGAATCTTTCCTCATTGCGAACTGCCCGGGTACACTGGCTCCCTTTGAGACCAACTTTGACTCGTCTATCCCCTCTTCTGACCTCTCAATCCCCGGCTACCTTCCTCTCCTTAGAAAAGACTCACACCAACATGCATAGCCTTGGAGTTTACATTTCCGTTGCCAAGATAGCTGTCTCTTAAATCTCCAGATCATTCGTACATGAGTTTCCGGCTATCTCTTCTCAATTTTGTAAGCTACCTCTTCTTCCTTTATCGCTCTCCACCCTCCCAAGATTGGTGTAATCGAAAGCATTTCTGACAGCATTGACAAGACTCTCTCACTCCATTAGTTTGCTCATGTATTCGTGTTTGGTGAATTAACGTCCATCATACCAAGTGGCTTAAAATCGCTACTACTGACCTTGCAAGCATACAAACCCTTAATTTTTAATTTCTCAATTCTTCACACAGATAGTTGACTTCTCCACACGTTTTCCCTACAACCTGGACGGTAAGGTTTCTCTTCTCGATCTATGTTTTACCTCCATCCCCGAGTCCTGAAGCGCCACGCAGCTCTCCCCTCCGATCATGCTCTAGTGTCTGTCAATATCTCCTTCAACTCCACCCCTTGCAAAGAACATCCTCCCACTAGAACCTCGTTCTGCTATCAACCAGCAGACTGGGACTCGTTCCGGGATTTCCTTCGCGATGTCCCAGTTCAAGAATGTGCTTCCAAGGTCTCCTCCTGGGTTAAATCTGGAATCGAGGATTTCTTCCCCTCAAGGAAATATAAGGTCAAATCGAGCTCCACCCCTTGGTTCTCCGCTGCTTGCTCAGCTGCCATTGCCCATAGGAATCACTTCTTCCACCTATATCGTAGCGATATATGTGACTGCAATAGACGTCTCTGTCCGTAATGAGTGTAAGCGTGTCCTCAATGAAGCAATCTCACTATATGCTACTCGAATGAAATAACGCATTGCATCTCGCAGATTTAGTTCCAAGGATTATTGGCATTTCTGCAAAAGCGTACTTAACAATAACAAACCCTCCTTTGTTCAACCAGTTTGAGGTTCTGACCTCTTCTGCCGACAAGGCTGAATGCTTTGCTCGGAAATTCTCATTCAATTCAACGCTCGACTCTTCTGGCGTACCCACATCCGATTTCTCCCTTAAAACTGAGGCTCTATTGAGCGAGTTGCACATAACCCCGTCATCGGTATTGGGCATTATCTCTAATTTAGACCACCACAAGGCTAGTGGTGGAAACGTGATACCAGCCATTGTCCTGAAGAAATGTGCGCCTGAACTGACCCCTGCCCTCTCCAAATTATATAACTACTGCCTCAATGAATCTTGTTTTCCAGACTGTTGGAAGTCCTCATCCATTGTTCCTGTCTTAAACTATGAATACCCTTCTGACCCTTCTAATTACCGTCCTATTAGTCTCCTATACATCTTCGGCAAGTGTAAGGTGCTTAACCGAAGTGGTTAAGCACTTTACCTCCCATGATCTGTTCTCCGACAAGCAATATGGTTTCCGCTTTGCCCGTTCTACAACTGAAATTGTTTACCAAGCTCTTCATAATAACGGAGAAGCTCGTGCCGTGGATCTAGTTATCTCCAATGCATTTGATAGGATTTGGCATGCCGGCCATATTCGCAAGCTTCAGGGTTATGGAATTTCAGGTCGATTGTTTGACTTAATACAATCATTCAAACCGTGTATTGAAGGTCGTTCTCAACGGATTCTACTCCAGCTCCTATCCCACGAACGCAGGTGTTTCTCAAGGCTCCATCCTAGAACCTACTTTGTTCCTTATCTTCATTAACAATCTTCCTGACGTCATAGGTTCCCAAGTAGGCATCTACGCGGACGACACTTTAATTCACTCATGCCTCAAAAACAAATCTTGTGTCACTGAAAAAACTAGCCTGGCCGTTCGTCCCGAACAGGACCTCCAATCGGCTGTGAACTTGGGCAGGAATTGGCTGGTTAATTTTAACGCCTCAAAAACAAAACTGCTCTCTATTACTCACCACAAAGAACCATTCCTGCCCCCCATTAGAATATTTGATTTTCAACTTCACGAGAGCACCCCTTTGCGACTGCTCGGTCTCACATTGACTGCTGACCTGAGATGGAACGAATACGTTGAGTCAATAGCTTCGTCCACCGCAAGGAAAGTTGGCTCCCTGTGCTGCGCCAGGAAATTTTTCTTGCCGGAGGGAGTCGATCCTTCAAATCTACAAATCAATCAAATATTGCTACCATAAATGGTCTGGAGCCCCTTCTGTTTGTCTCAAGGTCCTTGATAAAATCCAAAGACGGATGTACAATGTAATTGGCCCTGATCTGGCATCCCCTCTGCAGTCGCTCTCTCACAGACGTGCCGTCGCTTCTCTCTGTCTTTTTTACAAATACTTTCACAGTAACTGCTCCGATGAGCTGCTTTCGCTGGTTCCTAGACTTCACAAATTTAAGCGTTCTACTCGGCTGGCATCTCGCTCTCAAACTTTAATTGTCGAAACTGTTAAATGTAGCCGTCACTTCTACTCCAATAGCTTCATGTCTCACACTTCTCGCCTGTGGAACTTCCTCTCCTTTTCCTGTTAGCTATAATCTCCAACTATTCAAATGTAATGTCAATCGTCGTCTCTTGTTGCTTTGATCTACCCCCTATCTTTTTTTCATTCTATCTTCTATCACTCCTATTTGCTCTCGCTCCAACTCTCTGTAACCTCCTGCGTGCTAGTGGATTCCCGCCTTGTTTGGAGTGAAACGCTTAAAAAAAATAAACGCCTGATTCTTATTTTAAATGTTATTTTCTACACTGTTTCAACTTTTATTTAGTGTCGAGAGTTAAGGAACTGAAACTGGTCATATGTTAATCGTAGCGATACGTAACACTTTCATTGCACATTCGTCTGAGAATATTATATACATTTTTTTCATATTCGTTCAGAGTTTTCAAGTTAGTTAACGATGGAGGATACAAAATCATTGAACTACACGAATAAATAAATAAAAATAAAACATGTATTAACACTATTTTCATTGTTCGAACTTGCTCAAATATTTATTGCCATATCCACAACGTTACGGCCGTTGTATGCTCTGGTCTTCTTCAGGTAGCTGGAATTTCGAAGTGATGTGAGTAGATTGTTCTAATTCAATGTTCCATGAGATTTTTGATTATCTCAGTTTCAATTAATTCCCCTTGGTAACTCCATTCTCTTAGTTTCTCTTCCATCTGCTGTGGCTATAACTATCTGTGTCGTCACTTTTTCCATCACCCAACCAACGACATTTTTTTCATCCAGTAGATAAAGTCGTTGGTTGATCGATCCTGTGAATGTCAAATTTTCCAACTATTCTTTTCTCACTATGTGTCTTTTTCTGATACTAATACATGTCCTTTTTGTTTCTATTTTAATGAAAACTTCATCGTTACTCACATGCAACGTCCATAGCATTATCGGCATTCTCCCGTAGAACCGTCTCTCTCTTGCTTCAAGTCACCCGTTCATCTGTGACTAAATTGCCATGTAAGAAAATTGATATTACATAGCATTTCATTGCAATACAAAATAAAACGAGCAGGTGTCAGTAATAATTGCAACGATAACAATAAATCTTCGGTTTATTTACAATTTTCCGGAGGTAGACAGTAAAACTGATGAAAGACTGTATAGCTCTAAGTGCCTAAAATTTAATCCCTGTATTTTGACAAGTAAGGGTCAAGTCTCAGGAAAAATCGGTTCAAAACAATTAATCTATTGTTAGTACTTTATCTAGCATTAATTGTAATTTGGTCGAATTGGGATCAAATTTAGATCGGAATTCAAGGGACTGTTTGGATAAGGTACAATTAGATAAAGTACTATTAGATAAGGTACAATTAGATAAGGTACTATTAGATAAGGTACAATTAGATAAGGTACTATTAGATAAGGTACTATTAGAAAACTATTATAAATGTTACACATTTATTCAAGCTTCTTTAATAAAGTCGAAACATGTTAGATTTATAAACGTTTCCTATTTGTTCCTTATGTAATTTGGTTGAATATAGTTGATAAATATACGTAGGATGCTGATAATTATGATAGAGAATAATGAATTCAAGCGAAAACCTAAGACGAACAACTAATTTTTTAAATAGCACATCTTCACCCATTATTTTGTTAGATCCGCCAGCAATAAACAATCGTATTCAACAGAATTAATATTACAGGGTGTGATGGGTAAATTGTCGCCATGTTATATTTTTAATTTCACTCATGTGCGTTCTTTGCTTTTGACTTTGTCGACTTCACAGAGTCAGTTGGGCACCGTCTGTCAGAAAAAAAGAGAACGGTGACTCAATTCACTCCGCCAGAAATATAGAAACGGAATGCTGTACTGATTGGTATCCGAGACAAAAGCCTAAATACAAATATTTCAGAGTGTTTGGGTGTCAATCTGAAGACGTGACAAAGAAAATCGGGAAGAGTTGAATGGGTCTAATTAAGAAATTACAGCCACTGGGAAAACACACTCTGATCGTTCTGATAAGAAAAGAACTCCCTAATTTGTTGGTAAGGAACTCAGACTCAACACGGAGGCCTACGTCAAGGCCTTTGAAGAGGTAGTGCTGCTCTGGGCCAAGAGGGTGGTTGCTGGAAGACACTATGTCTGGCAACAGGATTCTACACCATACCACACAAGATGGAGAACCCAGCCATTGCTGTTTGACAATTTCTGCAAACACATCAACCTTTACGTCTGGCAACCTAACTCGCCAGACTGCAACCCCTATCGTTATTATGAGAGAGGCACAGTTGAGCGAGAGACCAACGAAGTACCTTGTAACACCAAAGATGAACTGAAGGCAAGGATGATGGCAGCATGTATCAACTTATACAATGAGACCACCCAGAAGAGATGCAGGAGATACCGAAATAATCTGGAGGCAGTGGTTGAAGCCAGTAGTGATTTTATTAAATAAATTTACTCTTTCGTATTTCAAGATATGTTTGTGCAATTTTGGTAAATATATCTGTTAAAATTACATGTCAGTATTATTTTAATGTTTGAGTAATTTAGACGACAATTTATCCATCGCAGCCAGTATTTGTTGACAACGTCGTATGAATAGTTCAATTATGATAGTCCATAGTAATGCCTGAGGTCTACTTATTTAAAATATTGTGATGACATTACATCAATATTTTAGTTAAATTGGCTAAGTCATGCAATCAGCTGTTTTATCCAAGTCGTTGTGCCTACCTGCGCACCTGTTCATCAGTGATGATGACCAGCCAGGTCCGTTGGCCCAGTAATTGGTAGTCAAAACAAATTTTCTATTATATTAATTATTCTAAAACCTATAATTATTTACTCATTTACTGTTCACGCTGCTGGAAGTCGGTGGTATACAATAGACATAAAGTGATAACAAGTCTCTTTCAACATTCTTCTTCATTTTCTGTTGTTTTCAATAATGTCTTGTTCTGGATGGTTCTAAATCTTTCCATGATTTCAATTACCTCCAGGCTTCTTTTGTCACCTTTGGACCGCTCTAGTGTTCAGATAACAATTGGCAGGACTGTTAACTTCACGTTCCACAAATTCCTTATCTTACGGCAAGGGCGATGTATTATGTATATTCTTACCTTCTTTCAGATATATTTAGAACAGGTACCAGTGCTCCGATAGCGAGTTGCACGACTGTCACCTTCGTGTTGCCCAGCTTCCCCAGATGTCAGATCATGACTGAATATATTTTGCACTCACTCTGACGTCAGCAGTTTCGCCTGAAAGATGTTATCCTGGTTACCAAGTGCAGATTCGTGCATCAGAGTGTGTCAGCAACTGGCAGACATTTAAAGATGTGATGTGCAGGCGGGTTTAAAAGTAGTAAGGGAGAGATACTTATATAAGGGAGAGATACTAAGGGAGAGATTATAAGGGAGAGATACTTATATGAGGGAGAGATACTAAGGGAGAGATTATAAGGGAGAGATACTTATATGAGGGAGAGATACTAAGGGAGAGAATATAAGGGAGAGATATTTATATAAGGGATAGATACTAAGTGAGAGAATATAAGGGAGAGATACTCATATAAGGGAGATATACTAAGGGAGAGAATATAAGGGAGAGAAACTTATATGAGGGAGAGATATACTCTCCCTTTATAATTATCCTTAGTATCTCTCCCTTATAAGTATCTTTATATATAATCTCCCTTAGTATCTCTCCCTTATATAAGTATCTCTCCCTTAGAATCTCTCCCTTAGTATCTCTCCCTCATATAAGTATCTCTCCCTTATATTCTCTCCCTTAGTATCTCTCCCTTATATAAGTATCTCTTATATTCCTTAGTATCTCTCCTTATATAAGTATCTCTCTCCCTCATATCCCTTAGTATCTCTCCCCATAAGTTCTCTCCCTTAGTATCTCTCCCTTATATAAGTATCTCTCCCTTATAATCTCTCTCTCTTAGTATCTCTCCCTCATATAAGTATTTCTCCCTTATAATCTCTCCCTTAGTATCTCTCCCTGATATAAGTATCTCTCCCTTAGTATCTCTCCCTCATATAAGTATCTCTCCCTTATATAAACATCTCTCCATTATATTAGATACTAAGTGAGAGATTATAAGGGAGAGATACTTATATGAGGGAGAGATACTAAGGGAGAGAATATAAGGGAGAGATACTTATATAAGGGAGTGATACTAAGGGAGAGAATATAATGGAGAGATACTTATATAAGGGAGTGATACTAATGGAGAGAATATAAGGGAGAGATACTTATATAAACACTGACCACAGAAGAGAGAAAAAAAGGCACTCTCTTACGCATCGCAGTAGAAAATGTAAGGTCAACGTTTGAAAAGTGTCCCGCGGTTGCTCACAGCTTACTGGCTGACACTGACCAGAAATGGGCAGCTGATCTTTCCTCTGACCTAGCTTTAGCAGCTCAGAAGTAGGAGGAACTCGCTGGTCACATTCATTGCCTCGAAAATCAAACTAGTGACGTTCCATCATCAACGAGGGTCCCTGACATTTTGCCTATAGCAATGAACTGTTTCTATTTCCTGTAGGTACAGAGCCTTGAGCGGCTATTGAAGTTAAAACTCATTCCAGTACCGCTCCAGTAAGCAACTGACTCCTGCTATCCTCTACCTTTACAAGAGACAGATCAGACCGGAAATGGAGTACTGCGACCATATCTGGACAGGAGTTGTCCAGTCATCAATTCCTATGTTTGAAAGAGTCAAAGAACATCTTTTCCACTCTACAACATCATATACATGAAAAGTTTTCTGACGAACTACATTCCTTAGTTCCACTAGTTCTAACCTTCACGACTAAGACCCGCCATGCCACGCCCATTGTGGCGAACAACCCTCATTCCTTTTATTAGTGAGATGAAAGTTCCATTCAAATAGATTCTTCCCATGAACTTCTGCTTTGTTGATCGAACTGTCAGTTACAATCTTAATCTCTTCACGTCTAGGGTTAAATTCACTGTCTGGCATATTTTTTCCGACTACCAGATTCGCCATCTGAACTGGATGATTCTTCTGAATTTCAAAGCTCCATAGAACTTTATTTGTTTTATTCTCTGAAACAAATTCAGATCCGTGCATAAGCCATTAATTTGTATGGCTAAAATGTAGTCACTTGTGGAGTTCCCAATGGGTCACCTTCTCTACCTAATCACGCCTATTCTTTTATTCTTTTGGGACCAATTTGCTATATTCGGCTATTATTATTTCTATTATTATTAGCGACAACAAAAAGACTTTAGCCCTGCATGAAATCCGTCTGTTGTAGACTTAGATAAGAGACTACCTTTCAATACATAGGCTGAATATTATCAATTGGTTCCTGGTTATCTCAGTAGAAAGTAATTTTCTGCCCTTTTATATTTTGCCGCTATTGTCATCACAAGAAAGAAGCTATTATGCACTGTCCTTTTTCCCCTTGCGTTCCTAATTCTCAAGTCGCCCGACATTCGAGCGGCAATTCTAAATAGCATAATCAGTAAAGAAATAGTACACCCAATGTGTTCGGATGTTATACATTGCGAAAAAAAAAAAAAGAAAAAAAAAGAAAAAAGAAAACAAACGGTCTCCAGTTACCATTATCGATATGTAACTTCCAAAGTTACGTTACCAAGAGCATGCGCACCATATTCTTAACAGATAAAGTTAAGGTTAAGAATGAATAAGTTTGTCCAAAATTCCCAGTTTTCTATCTGTTGACTCACACAGAGAAAAAAAATCTCATTTACATATATACGCACATGCAAGTAAAATTATTTATGAACATTACATAAATTACGTCTTAAAATGGAGCTCGAATTCCATTCAACTTCATTATATTCACATACGTGCTAATATACATGGGAAAGATATGAATCCAGTTATTGGTAAATAGAAAGACAGAATAGGTCTTTTAGCCTTGGTTAGAAACCAGACTAGAAGAAGGACAATTTTGAATCCAAAACAACCTGAAGACATTTCTCCCCCAATTATGAGTTGAATAGCAGGACAGACTGGATCCTATAGTACATGTTTCGCAACTAGTATATGACAGAAAGAAAAGAAAATCGATTGCGGAAAAATATACTGCCTCGTCAGTCATGACTGCCCAAGCGTCTATCACTCATCAAACTCAGCTGATACTGAGTCTGAAAGACGGTCATTCATAAATTAAAACATAGATCAGAGACAAAAATAATTTTATAATTGATTCGAAGGTGAAACGCCGGTTTGCCGTTGGTACATATAATGATCATGGCTCTCCACATTTTCTTTTCTCTTGTAACTGTATGCATTTTTGTCTCTGTCTTTATCTCTGAGATGAGGTATTATGAGTACTTTCATTATTTGCATCGGACTGTTATTCTCATCATCATTACCATATTCAGAACGTTTCGGACGTTGTACACTCCGGCCTTCTTCAGGTGATATAAGTCCCAAAAATCATCCGCGGACACATGGACACATGACGTTAGATCCAGTGACTAGACCCAAAAAGTTATGAGATCAATACCAGGCCACAGCTGTGGTGAACGAAAATCTTGAAGATTTAGGTTAAAGTGAAATAACTGAAACATCCGGAAGAAGCATGACAATCTATCCCCAGTGGACGGAATAAAGGGTTCGATTCCAAAGTCACCTGAATAATTACTCTAAAAAAAAAAAAAAATGGACAAAACAGCAAAGCGGGATCTCTTTGTGTCTGTCTTTAACTTTAAAAATATTGTAATTAAAAATATTGTCTGTTTGAAGAAAGTTAAAATAATAATTCTTAGTGTATAAAAAACTCATAAATGTGTCGGACGGACGCACCACACAAGCACGGACGCAATCACAGACTTTTAGTATTATATAGTTATATATACATATATAGATATAGATAGATATATAGCTTTGCCAGATGTTGCCTGTCTCAATACCCCATGAGCTGTTAGGGAAGAGCTTCTGTCATAGTGTGCGCTTCTCCGTCGCGCAGGGTTGTCCACCAAACACATATTCCCGAGAATGGCCTCAACAAACACTCTTTGATTCACAGCCATCTCAGATATCGCCATGAGAGAGAGAGAAAGAAGAGGAAGAGAGGATGACGATACCAATTTTCGGATGCCAGCGGGTTCCGAAAACAACAAAAACGTCTTCTTAATGAATAACTATGGTTCAGTAGACGTCTCTTCTTTTTAAACATGTATAATTTTGTGTCTTCTTTATTATGATAATTCAACCTTAGTTTGGCGTAGACTCCTCTGAGTACGTTTCCCCTATTTCGAAGAACTTTTCAAATAAGTCAGCGAATCAAAACTGTCATCTATATTTCTGAGATGAGGTATTATGTACAATATTTACATTATTCGGACTATTGTCCTCATCTTTGTTGCCATATTTATTACAACGTTTCGGCCTTTGTACGCTCCGGCTTTATTCAGGTGGTTGGAATGTCGAACTGAACACTTTATTTTGCTCACTGGGGTACACTGTTCCATTTCCACGTGCCATGTCTAATGGATGCCAGTTATCTCATGTTAATTCCCCTCTCCAAGTTCTCCACTGCCTTAAGTAGGTATTGAACTCACACTCTTTGGGTCCTGTCACTGAATCTAAATAACGCCTTTATCCGCTGTGCCATGTGTCCTTGTGTATGAATTTTTGGGTATTATAAACCTAATGTCTTCAGCAACATTTTTTACCAGTACTCATATTGTCCTAATAATGTAAATAGTGGCATCATTCTTTTTTGACAGAATACAAAGTTTACTTAATATCAAGAAAGCCGGGTCGGACTCTTTAATGACAATAATAAAACCAGTATTTATATGGATATTTTTTTATCCCATCCAACTCAAACACTGGGCATTTTTATCATCAAGCTAATTAATGTGTATCCGGTTAGAAAATGGATTGAGCAAATCACAAAATTAGAAATGGGAGGAATCGGATTTATTTGCTTAGAAACAGAATGAATCGACCAAATATAACCTATTTACTAATAAGAAATTATGTCCGCTGGGATAAAAACATAAAATCATATATATATATATATATATATATATATATATATATATATATATATATATATATATATATATATATATACCGTAATTTCTCGAAAATAATATGCGCCATAAATAATACGCTCCCTAACAAATGATCTAAAAATTACGAAATATATCTATCCCTATGTAAAATACGCATCTATAAATTTTGTACAAAGCAAAAAATAATAATCACGAAGACATGTTGTCGACCATGACTTTAAGAATAAAATCGAAACTAAGCGACTAAAATAATGTTTTACTACTGGTAGCAAGAGGAAAAAATTGGAACTCATTTTAAAATGGAGTCAGGAATCTTGGGATTCCGTCAGTGAGGAGGATGTTATAAAGAGAGGTTTTTTAAGAAATTTTGTCTCATGACACCCATGGATGGCTCTGAAATTGATATCCTTTGGCAAGAGAATGAAAAGGTCGAAGATAATTTTGAACAGGACAAAGATAATATTGTGAATGATAATTTGTTTAATGACAATTTAGATATTAATTCTATAATAGAAATTGGTGAGGATGATGATGAAAATTAAAATCATAATAAATTGTTAAGTTGATGTCCTCTTTTCTTCGCAATTGGCATTTTTATAGATTTTTTTATTTTCTCGCCAAATAAAAAATGCAGTTACTGATAAACATAAATTTATTGGCAAGAAATGTTAGTATTATTATTACTGGATTATAATGAAAATTGGGATAATATCTTTCTTATTTTAGAACAAGTACGTATTTATTATTACAAATCAATAACGAAAAATATTTTTGTTTAAACCTATTTACAATACACAGCGTCTCATATACGTGAAATTACGGTATATATATATATATATATATATATATATATATATATATATATATATATATATATATTTATATAGACAAAACCATTTTACTAACTACAAAGATGCAAGTTCGTTTCAGTGACTTCAAATGCTCTTCGACGGATGAGAATCAAAAATGGTTTTGTCTATCATAAAATCATAATAAATAAATAATTATCGCTCTAC